ACAAATATTCTAAATGGCTGGCAGTTCTCGTAGCCTAAAAAACATTAAATTACTTTAGCAGCCAAAAATAAACAGATAATCCTACTCTAACAGTTGTGTCTTTTTCAGGTGAGGGAGTGAGCACATAAATACAAAATAAAGTATCAAAAATGTTACTGGAATAGCTAGATTATTTTTCTTCTACATGTACGTGTTAAATCAAATTAAGCTCCAGAAAGATACTCGCAAGCTGACCATTTATCCTTCCAGGAAGTTTTCAGTTCCCTCCTCAATTGTAATTTTACGGCTGCTGTGTTTCGCCCTCAAAAAATACAGTCAATTCACTTTACAATATATTCTGTGAAGCGCTCTGAGCTGTCTTAATGACGTGACAAGGGGCAACATCAAATGCAAGAATTATTATTATAAATCCTGCTTACTACAGTCGATTCCACTTCACAGTATATGCTGTGAAGTGCTTTGAGATATCTCGAGGACATGTTAAGGAACTATATCAAATGCAAGTATTATTATTATTATCATTACACATGTACAAGCATCATACAATGTTTAAGTTTTGGCACAAACAGGTCAGGTCACAGGAAAAAATAACAAGTGATACACATCTCCATAAGTAAATTATGAGTTATAGTCAGTCTCACAAGTAGAGCTTTACTCACTTGTGAAGATAATCATTAGATAATTTACAGATCCTTTGACTGTCAAATTAAGACCACAGTTTGAAATTATATGTACATTCAGAGATGCAGTAACAACTAACATAAACTGGTAAACATGGCCTAAATAATTCTTTAAAAAAATATTACGTTTTTAAGCTTCTAAGCTTAACATTCCACATTAGACATAGTGAATGATTATTTTGAGCAAATATTACTCTAATGTACAGAACTGTTTGTAAAACAAACAAACAGAGAGAGCTGGGAAAACTCAGCAGGTCAGGCAGCATCTATGGAGAAAGGAAAGTGAGTCAACGTTGACTCACTTTTCTTTCTCCATAGATGCTGCCTGATCTGCTGAGTTTTCTCAGCTCTCTCTGTTTGTTTTAGATTCCAGCATCTGCAGTATTTTGTGTTTTGTTTTTAAAACAAATCTATCTAATTCAAACTAATTGTAAACTTGTTTAAACCCATTCCACTGAGCAGCAATCTTAATGCATATTGTACCAATTTATAAAAACAGAAATGACTCACCAGTAATTTGACTATTTCATTTTCTGAAGTAGCCATAAAACAGGGATATTGAAGTTCAAAGTTCAAAGTAATATATTTCCCTAATCAATTTTGGAAACCTTTATTTTTAAAAAAACATAGAATTCCTGTTCCTGATCACTATCCAGTGACCCCTGCTGGAACGTGCAGATTAGAAGAATAAGAGGGCATACGTTAAGGTTTTTGAAAGGCAAGTTTAGGACTGCCATTTGAAAGTATTTCTTTACACAGAGGATACACAACAGCTGTAATGGGTTATCAGAATGGATGATCTGAATACCAGACCTTGGACTCATTTAACACACAGCTAGATGTTGTAATGGGAAGATGGTAGAGTAGGTATTCTGGAAGAATGCAATCAAATGAGCCAAATAACCTTTCAGTTAAATCTCCTTTTGGTGTGTATATGCTGAGTGTGGGCATGATCATGCTAGATTCTGAGCTACACATGAAGAATGTATGCTTGGGGAAAATGGCATAGAGTTGCCAGCAATTAATACAGATTTGAAAAGGAATAAGCCTGCTCAGCGGTAGGATTTGGAGGGGCAGACCTATCCAGGGAGTTTTCCCATTCGGTGCCTTTTAGCTCTGGGAGCCCTAAGTAGGGCGGTCCTAGCTGGCCAAGCAATTGGCAAGCTATGCAATGTTAGCAGGTTAAACTTCAGCAGTACCCCAAAGCACACTCTGAGGTCCCCAAGCATTGGATCTTGCCATTCTTTCTGGAATTAGGTACAAAGGTACCGCCCTTTGTTCTGTAATTTCCCTGATTGTATGATCCATGAAAGAATACCCAACTCAAGACTCCACATCTTTAGAACAACAACAAAATTACATTTGTATAGCGCCTTTCACATCGGGAGGACATCCCAAGGTGTTAGATAGACAAGAGTTTCGTACCTGAGCTGGGAGTCGGGGTCAAGGAGGGTAAAGAAAGAAAAAAAAAAGGAAAAAAGTGTGAAGAAAATAAAAGGCTCTCTCTCTCTCACCTATTCAGAGCAACCTTGGATTTTCATCACCCAATTCCTGCAGATATAGGATAATGATTCTGAAAATTAGTGAAACTGATCATGTGCAGTGGTGGACCCACATCAACTCTAGAGTGGGAGTGCAGATTAGCACAATCCAATCACATACACAACAATGTCCAACTTGTTTTTAAAATAGCTGATGATTTCCAATTAGCATATAGTAAGAGAAAGGGTGTTATCTGCACTGGCTTTATAGGGCCACTTGCTGATGTCAGTTAAACTGGTAATTTTTAGCTTTCACGGCTGATATTTTGGATCTTCAGGAACTGTGGATGACGAGAGAGAGGAAACACTTTTGGACTGCACTAACTTGGAAATTTCAATATAACCTCTGCTTATGTCAAACTGATTTTGAGTTCAGATCACTCATCAGAATTGATAGAAGATCACCTCAAGGAATGTCTCACACTGTTTGGCTTCACACCAATTACACTGCAATTGTAAGCAGTACAAGGTAAAGCTCTCAGGTTATTCAGTGGAGTATTTTTATGTTGCTAATATTAGAAAACAGCCTTCTGTTCCACCAGCTCTCTTCTAAAATTGAAATAATTCCATAAGAATTTGCTGCTGCCTTTATACTTGCCAGGCTCCACTGCCTTCCATATGCATAAATTTAAATCTGCTGATGCAAAACTTGGTTTTATCTGAACGAGTATAATAATACTTGCATTTGATATAGCGCCTTATCACGTCTTTGAGACGTCTCAAAGCACTTCACAGCTTATAATGTAAAGTGAATTGACCGTATATTTTGTGGGCGAAACACAGCAGCCAATTGTGCACAGCAGTGTCCCACAAACAGTTGTGGATTGAGTGACCAAATTATTATTATTATTTATTTTTACCTTGTTAGTTCACATCACTCAAAAAGTAAGTCCTGTATTGATATCAAATTTAGGTAATTTCCCAGCACTTTGGGATGTCCACCCATGAAAGGCACTATATAAATGCAATTTGTTGTTGTCTGCAGTACAATACTGTAGCACATTACCTTTGCACTTACTGTAAATGATCCGTTCACAAACAAAACAGGTTTGTTGTAAAAGTTTGAGATAAACTTTGAATTTAAGAAAAAATATATTTTTTAAATTTCTAAATTTTTGAACAGAAGTTGATCAAAGTTTTATATTTCCAGAATGGCAGGTACTCAGACAAGCAACTTCCCAGAATGCAAGAATAAAAGAAGTGATACTATCAAGGTAGGAAATCCTGCTTCTCATAATGATCCTTGCATTTGATATAACGCCTTATCATGTCTTTGATGTCACAAAGCGCTGTAAAGTAAATTGCCTGTATAATCTGAATTTTAGACATCTTGGATGCTGTGAACAATGTGCAAAAGGAAAATTCTGCATTTTTCCGGAAACAATTGCAAAATTCAAACAATTATTTGTAGGAAACTAACAACTGAAATGGAATTACTGTCCATGAAATGCACATTTTACTATTATGACTGTTGTAACTGGTGCTTCCTTGAATGTAAGTGGCGCTTCCTTGAATGTAACTGGTGCTTCCTTGAATGCACCCAACTGGTAAGGAGGTATGTAACAAATTAAAAATAGACTTCATAATAGTTTTAGGCTATAAACATACTAACATTTAGATGAGCCACTCAATATTGATTTTGCTATCTGCAAACTGAACTCTTATGTTACTATTTTATTATGCACTCTAGCTTTGTCCAAATGTTCTCAATTTTGATGTCACGAGACATTCAGTATCTTCATCCTGGCAAGTCTGACTGAACTATATCTTAAATAATTAAATTGGTTTAACTAAGCATTTAAGTTGATTTAAGTTGTTGGGGCCAGCACTCTAAGGAAAATAAATCACTGGTGTTTCAGCACTCGCAAGTTACACCTCAAGCCAACCACCAGTTACCAAAGAACAGTACATCTTCTATTACACATGTGCATATCTTGTGGGTAGCATCATTTGACACCTCACCCATCTGTCATCAATGTAGATTTAAATACACGTACAGTGTTCAGGACCTTTTTAGCAAACTACACATTGGTAACACCTAATATTAATAGCTCAAACTTGATTCTTCTCCCCTCAACCCTTCACAATTCTTCGCATTTACCAACATCAAAACCCAACCACTTGTTTCAGCAACGGGCTCAGAACACGGATAGTCTTCATCTAAAAAAAAATAAAAAGGCCTGCACAGATCTTATCAGTGAAGAAAAAATTGAATGATGCTGACCGAAACGTGCTGTGCTGTCAGCGAGCCAAAGGGGACCCAATGGCTGATTTGAAAAAAAAAGTAATACTGTGGCCGCAACTCAAATGATTAAAAACATGTTCAACCACTTCAATGCAGAGAGATCAGCGGTGTACAACCTGCCCACATACCAACCAGTAAAGCCACGAAATAAAAAAAAACAACGCAACGCTTTTAAACCTCACGACACTTGTGACATTTTAAGGCTATTTTGCTCTCTCCAAACCATCTGCTCACGTACTGTTCGAGACACAAGTTACCCCGAAGACTGTGATCTGTAACCGCACCATTCCTGTCCATCAGATAAAGTCACGTCCAATCCGTTTTATAAAATCCGCCAGTGCCACCGGATTAAAAAAAACACCAGAGGACCAAAACATGTAACCTTCTCCACACAATTCTTCCCCTTTCTCAAAACACGGCCTGTAAGTTGGAGGCCCAGACGGGGCCTGTCTGACTGCAACTGTGGAGAGAAAAGTTGTGTGTGTGTGTGTGTGTGTAGAAAAGAAAACATCCCCTCCTCCAGTTGGGACTCACCAGCAAACTTTCCGCGTTTATGGGAGACCTCGGGTCCCTGATCATGGCCTCCAGCTTTTTCAGTCGGGTTTTCGTGTTATCTGTTGACGACATCTCGCAGGTAAAATGTAAATCCTTGCGTGGCGGCGGCGGCGGCGGTTGTTGTTGCTGTTTGGGGGGATATTTCTTTCCCTCCCCGATCAGGTTCAGGTGGGATAAAGTTCCCAGTTCAGAAGCTCTCAGACCGGACAGTCGGGCAAGTCAGTCAGTCTCTCCACCGCCGCCGCCGCCTCTTTTTCTCCTCCTCTTTCTGCTGTCTTCCTTTCGTTCCCTCCCTCCCCCTTATCTCGGTCCTCCTCAGAGCGGCCACGGCAGCCTGGGCCTAAAAGAGCTGCCTTCAGGCAGTAGCCGGAGAGCGAGGGGAGGACAAAGTAAAAGTCTTCTTGCTACAGACATGAGCTGAGCTGAGCTGTGCGGGGTGGGTGGGTGAGCGGGCGGGCGGGCGGGCGGGCAGCCCCCGGCTCCTCCCTCCACCTCCTCCCCCGCAGACCGCGCCTTCCAACGGGAGCCAGGGGTAACGGCTGCCGATTTGAATCCGGGAGCCGCTCGCGCGCGTACGCTCACTCACTCACCCACGCACGCAATCGCGCACGCACGCACGCGAGGCGAGGCGAGCCGAGGATTCCGAGCCGATGACAAAACAGCCGCGCGGGACTGGACGGGACGGGGTGGGTCGGGTCGGGCCTCCCGCACGTCATCGGATTCCACCGCGCTGAGGCTCACGGGTGGAGTTGGGGTGGGGGTGGAGCGAGTGAGTGGCTTCGAGCTGTCACTCAAGCGGTCAAGGCTCGCTCCTCCCCCCCCCTCCTCCTCCTCTCTGGTTGACTTGACCACTGCACTTGTCTGGTTGGCATTGCAAAGGCAATTTCCCATTTGCTCTCTTTCCACCCGCCCGCCCTCCCGCCCGCCCGCCCTTGGAAACAGACGGAAAAGTAGCCGTTCCGTCGGCTTGTCCGGGCAGACATCAGGGCAGACACGAGCGCAGTCTTCCTGCAGCTGAACGTGGACGAGAGGGAAGCCACCGCTCCTCGGGTCCGGTCAACGTCTTCACTCCTGCGGATCTAAACTGTACCGTACCCACATAATAATAATAATAATAATCCTTGCATTTGATATAGCGCTTTTCACGTCGGGAGGACGTCCCAAAGCGCTTCACAGAACACACTGTAAAGTGAATTGACTGTCTATTAGTGGGCGAACGCGGCAGCCAATTGCGCACAGCCATGTCCCACAAACAGTCGTAGATTGAAAATGACCAATTTAATTATTGTTTTTTTTGGAGGGATTATTATTAGGCTCTGTGTGGAGTAAGGAAACTTGCCCAAGGTTTCGCCCTGCCTGGAATTGAACTCAGGTCTCTCACTTGCAAAGCGAGTGCTCTAACCACTGAGCTACAGGACTCCACGTACAGCCGAAACCCTCGTGCACGCGTTTGTCACCTCCTCGCCGGTCTCCTCAGCTCCACCATTTACAAGCAGCTCGTTCAGAACTCTGCCGCCCGCATGCTGACCCGAACCGAACTCCGTACCCACATCTCACCAGTTCTAGCCAGGCTCCTGGTTCCCCAGCACCGAATGGATCGACCTCAAGATCCTCACACTCGTGTTCAAATCCATTCATTCCCTGGCACCTCCCTACCTCTCCGACCTCCTCACTCCTCAATCCACCACCCGGCGCCTCCGTTTGACTGGCACCGACCTCCTGCTCGTCCCTCACACCCTCCGCTCCACCACCGGAGCTTACGCTTTTAGCCACTACGCCCCGAAACTCTGGAACAATCTCCCTCAATCCCTTCACCTCTCTCCCCTTTTTCAAGTCATGCCTGAAAACCTTCCTCTTCGACGGTGCTTATGGCCACCTCCGTGTCCCCTCCCCTGCTGGGAGTCAGGCTCCAACCATGTTAAGCGCTCTGAGATGCTACCCTGCATGGAGGGCGCTATATAAGTGCAAGTTGTTGTATTTTCCATCATGCTTCGAATGGTGTCTATCCCCCTAATAGTTTGATTATTGCATTATCCCATGATAAGGCACGGATGTCTCTGGTGCCTTATCACGGGAGATATTTCAAAGCAAATTTGAATTAAACTGTAGCAGCTGTGCAATTGTTAGGAGAATGCTTCAGCCAGTTTGCACACAACGTCCAACAAACAGCTAATAAGAACATTAAAAATTGCCAGGCGAAGGAAGCCCAAAGAATGTGAATGATTGATTATCTTTAATCAATGATTGTTGATCAGGACACCGAGCAAAACGCTCTTTTCGAATACTACAAGAATCCTTACAGTTTGATACAGTGCCTTATCACGTTGTCGAGATATCTCAGTGCTTCAGGATATTCTGTAAAGTGGATTGACTTGGTATTTTGTGGGCGAAACGAAAAACGAGATGTCTCCTGTGATAAGGTGCTTTATTCGTGGGCAATACAACAACAATTTGCACTTATATGGCAGTACAGTACAATTCCGTTCTTCAGATGAGATGTTGATCTGAGGTCTGTTGAGGTCAACTTTAAAGATCCCATGGCACTAGTCAAAAAAAGTAGGGAATTTTTCGCAGTGTCCTAGCCAACAAATACCGCAAATAAAATTGGTTATTCACTTTATGGCTGTTTGTGGGACATTGCTGAACACAAATTGGTACGGTAAATCCTGTGAAGCACTTTGAGACGTCTCGACGTGATAAGGTGTTATATCAAATGCAATGATTATTATTATTAATTTACATTTATACTGTTCCCTTCACATCGGAAAGACTTCTCAACGTGCTTCACACTGCTTTCTCGGCATCCTGAGCTGGGGTTGGGAACTGATGATGATGTGTAGAGGAAAGCGTGATCAATTGGATAAATCTTGAGGAGGTCATTGAACACTGGGAGGGAGGTGGCAATGGGATCTTTAATATCCATCTGAAAAAGCAGACAAGCCTTGGATTAACATCTAGTCTGAAGGACAGCAGTTTGAAAATGCTGCTTCAACATTTATTCCTCAATGTATTATTCTTCAATGTTAAATTGTAGTGGGTGTGTGTTTATTAGGAGACTGTGGTCATCTTAAATATTAGAAGTAGTTGAAAATAATATGAATTTTAACAAATATGGAGAATCCAAAATTATGCATGGACATCCAGTGACAAACATGTAAATGTATTAATTGAATCAATACTGTAATTTATTTTAAGGAGCTCAATTCTTTTTTTTTAATTTTGGGAAACCAATAATGCAAAGAAATGAAATGCATTAATAATTGATGCCTAAAGTGAATATACTGTATTACAAATCCTAAAGATAATATGATCTTCACAGGTGGGAAACATGTTTTAGTGAAATTAATGTGTGACTAAATCTATGCAAAAGTATTTAGAATTTGTTGTAAATATATTCTATAATATTGTTTAATATTTTCCATGTCTAATAGTAATTGACTGAATGTTTGGCTTCTTTTTTGCTGTGCAGATTTTTTCAATGGAACAGGTTCAGGAATTATACTTTTAGCTTTTCAATCAAAATGCCAACAAACTCTGTATGGAAAATTCACCAAAATCTCATTCCCTAATATAGTTGTTTTTTTTTAAATGGATAACACATGCAATTTTGATTTGTCCTGCTTTTAATTAGAGATAAATTTTTGTTTCCAAATGTATGACTGTATTAGAAAAGGTTGCTGCCTCATCAGCTCAATATAGACAAAAACATTGAAGATATGTTCCACATGTAACCACAACCTAAACAATTTCATGAGCAAAGCCCCTGAAGAATGAATTCCTTTGGTTGTGCACTTAGTCACATAATTGACAAATGCTCTATTTAGGTAGGTGTAATACAGCACTATATTTCTTTCTACACTTGGTTGCTCACAAAAAGTTGGCTCAGTTACTAAATATAGCAGGACGAAACCCAACTATAGTTTGATTAAATCAAACCATGATTAAATTTCACTTTACCCATCATTACTATATTTAGTATTTGCATGGTCAGCCTCGTGACAATTTCAGCTGACATGTTATCAGGGTAAGATCATATCCTTTCTTGCCAGCAGTTTTTCAGGTGCATTATAAGCCAATGATAGTCATATTTAAAAAAAGAACTACCGGCATTTTGTTCTTTCTAGGTCAAGTGAGTATTTTAAGAGCAGTAAAGTAATCTACTAACAAAGGAGAAAGTGACTAAGCTGGATATAGGCATTTTACAGTACTTTGTTTCCCTTGTCTCAATCTGTCACTCCTTCTGTTTCCGTTTACTTTTGTTCTGATATAACAAAACTATTGCCAGCATTAGATAATTGAATTGTGAAATCTGTAAAATGAGTTTAGAATAAAGAATTAATGTATACAAATACATTCCGATATTTTTAAATATATCTTATTTATCACGTGTACATGCCATTGTATGTGTCAAGAGCTCCGGGATGGTAACCTGCGTGAGGACGCTATATAAATGCAAGTTTTTGTTGTTATTGGTGGTATTTAAGATAATCTAAAATCATGTAAATATAACGTAATGCATAACAATAATAATTCTTGCATTTAATATAGCACCTTATCACATCTTCGAGGCGTCTTAAAGTGCTTCACAGAACTTACTATAAAGTGAATTGACTGTATATTGTGTGAGTGAAACGCGGCAGCCAATTGCACACAGCATTGTCCCACAAACAATCGTGGATTGAGTGACTAAATTATTATTTTATTTATTTTTTTGCAAGGGATTATTACCCCCGGAAAAGCGATCCTCCAATCAGCTAACAACCGGGCTCCTACTTACTGCTAGGTGAACAGAGGCGTGTGGAGTAAGGAAACTTGCCCAACATTTCGCCCTGTCAGGAATCGAACCCAGGTCCTCTCATTTGTCAATCGAGTGCTCTAACTACTAAACTGCAGGGCAGTAAGTATGTTAATTTCTGCATTAGATAAGATTGCAAAAGCATTTATGGCAGTGAGTTACTTTTTGAAAGGGTAGTGACTTACAGGCAAATATAGCAGCTCATCTCCACTAGAAACATTCCAGAAAAACAATCAGATGAATGAGGTGAACCAAGTCTTTTATTTTTTGCTGAATTTTGATGAGGGAAGATACTGGGCAGGAAATCAAGGGAACTCCTTTCTCATCGAAATAATTCCTCATTTATGAGATTTAGAAACTGCTTTTGAATGGGCTCAATTCCAGAACTGTATGGATCTCAGGGCAAGTGTGCTCACAACTCAAATAGACTGGCACTGAGATTGTCAAAATTATATTCAAAATACAACAATAACAACAACAATTTGCATTTATATAGCAATCTTCACACAAATACTGTCTCGGGGCGCTTAACAGGGGTGCTGTTTGATGCCGAACTACAAAGAGAGAGAACGTGACTGAAGGCACAGTCAAAGAGGAAAGTCTTTTAAGTGTGTTTTGAA